CCAAGACAAGAGGCTTTAATATATATTAAGTGCCAACCAAGTATACTTAGTATACTTGTAACACATGAATATCCCATAGATCGGAACTGGCGGATCAGAAGAGCCAGTGTCGATCAGTAATATCACGTGGTCTGAACTTTTAGGGGTCGCCCTGGCAGACTCTGTGAAATGCAATCACAACTGAAAAATATATTTCATTCATACCTTAATTGCGTAATGTCTTGTCCGGATCTTTCGTCTCTAATAATTTCACCAGAGTCGTAAATATGTGTCCTATTTACAATATTACACCTCAGAAGAAATAATAAAATTTTGTTAATAATAGTTTAGACAAAGGTGTGGTCCGCAGGCATTAATATAGAAACCCTGTAAAGCAAATCCATATGTATCACAGCTACATGTCGAATCATATAATTTATTTTTCTGTATTAATGAAGCTGACCTAGTGGACATATAATTGCGTTTACTTTTTACATGTTATTTATCCACGTATGATCGAATATTTTTTCTTGGCATTTCGTGATGGAAATATTTTTTTAACCACGTGTTCTCATCTAATAATTAACTAAAAAAAATTTAAATAAATCTGCATCTTATGTAAAACAATGTCAGATATACAGACTCAAAGAGACGAGTCTAAAGACTCATCCGAATTAGGTTTGTTAAGAAAACGCGTCGACGAACTTTTGGCTGAGAATGCTGAGGTTAAGGCTGAGAATGCGAAGCTAAAACGGGCTATGGAAGAGAATACTGAGCTTAAAGCCGAAGTAGCAAAATTAAGACATGATTTCGAGGAGATCAAGTGGGACTAATACACGGGAAGTGTATTCTTTTGCGGAGCAAAGTGGCATAGATGATATTTTACAGTCTTCAATTTGTTCACCATTACCAGTAACTTCCAAATCATCAACTTCATCATCTATCAAAGATCACTCTGATAAGGATTATAGCGTCAGTATCAACACAAGCCAGCTAAAAGCTGAACCCACATCATTAGAAGATAAGGAGAATGATGAATTCCTGGATTCAAAATATATGAAAAAGGTTAATGAAGAGATAATTCAGAGCATAAAAGAAAAAAGCTTTGAGATCAAGAGGCATTATTAACTTCATTATCTGACAATTTACAAAATTGCATAACTGAAATTTCAACTGGGCCCCTTGCCAAAATAGTCATAGGAAGAACGGTGCAGAAAAAATTGTACAGTTGATAGCTAACGGCATTCAGGGTGATGCCCAATTGGGAGTTAAAACTACTCCTTGTGATGAGATTCCAGCTGGATCTCTCTATCAAGATTCATTTACGGTTCCATTGTTTTCTTTAGCTCAATTATTTGATAAAGCAACTGATGCTGAATATGGTGCAATTCATGCTAATCAGGAAGAGATTTTACGCTGATATTATTATGGAGAAGAATTCTTAATTCAGGTTGGAGTGGTTATACAAGATGATAAAGACAAAATTGATGAAAAAAGACAAAGGGAATCATCTATGATAAAATATTGAAATATCTTTTCATTCTCTATAAAAAGATATCTGCAGACACAGGTTTACAACTTCTAGAATTTTCATGTAAATACTTGCAAGAAAAAATCCAGAAAGCTGTAGAGATATACAAATTATTTGAAAACTTAGATATAGACAAAATTAAGTATAACACAACTTATAGTGCGAATTTTATTTTGGAATTAATTAATGATAAAATTCAAGAAATAATAGATAATTTTACCAAGCAGGAATTACATTACATAATATAAAAAGACTCATTTTTGACTCCTGAAATTTCAGCTGGGAGTCTCTGTCAAAATTCTATTATTAATTTTTCTAGCTTAAAAACATTTTCTTCCTTTATTCTATTGTCTCGTATCTCTAATTCAGAAAATAAAATAAGTGAAGAAGATAAATCTTTACCAGAAATTGAGATAAGTACATCAGGAAATTTCTATACCCGTTGGCAATCGATTTATAATCATGCCCATTGGCAATCGATTATCAACACCCCCATCATTCATCATCGATAGAGATTATAATCGATTGTTAGCGATTAAAATTGATTATAATCATTGACAATCGATTGTGTTCAAAAATCATCGAAGAACATCGTTAGCAATCGATTGCAACCACTAGCGATAGAAAACGATGATGTGTTGATGATCGATTGCCAATAAAAATTGTAAGCAATTGATTGTCAATGAGTTCCATTCGCAATCGATTGCAATCACGATCGATGCCAATTGGTGGGGGTGTTGATAATCGATTGCCAATATATAAGGTAGCTAATCGATTACTAGCGAGAATTGATTGCAATTAATTGCAATTATTATCATTGCTAATCGGTGGGTTGTTGATGCTCAATTGCCAATATACATGGTTGGCAATCGATTTTTAATGAGAATAGTTTGCAATTGTTTGTAATCATAATCAATGTTAATTGGTTGGGATGTTGATAATCGATTGCCAATTGAAGTGGTTTGCAATCGATTGCCAACGCGTATAGTTAGTATTCAAATGTAATCATGCTAAAGAATGATTGGTTAGGATGTTAATGATCGATTGCCAATGGGTATTGTTAGAAAGCAGTTTCATTTTGGGTAATACAATCATAATCGATGTTAATCATTGGTTTGTTGATATATATTATATTTATTT